CCCCCCCCCCGGGGATCCCGGATCGTTTCTCTCGTTGTATTCGGCATCATTCCGCTTTGGGTCGAACCGGTTCGGTGGGAGAACAAGTGTCCGTGTTTGCTTACCTGAGCGTGGACAGCGGTGTCGTCTCGTTCAGCGGCGGCGGTCGCTCACCGGGCGCTCTCTGCCTGCAGTACCGCTGCGGGCCGGAGGGGGGCGCTTCGGAGCGGCGCTGACATGTCAACAAAGAGCGCGCCGCTGCGCRATACACTMCTGTTAGCAAAATATCCCACGAACCRCTGCATGGATTTTAATGAAACTTTCGGGAAATAATCATTATGTATAGATTTACAACTGATTGASTTTTGGAGTCAATTGAAATTAAGATGGCAGCCACAGTTGACTCACATGAAAAAAACACAAAAATGACTAAAACGCTGTTAATTTTAACAAAACTGAGCTAAAATTAGGTGTGGTAGTAGCCGAGAGTGGTCCCAAACACATATTCCGACCATGCATAGATTGCACAACTCTACCTGTTAGCAAAATACCTCATATACCACTTTGCATTTTTTAATGAAAGTTTCAGGATGGTTAGTAATGATTGAATCTAAATCTACAACTGATAAACTTTTGGAGTCAGTCTAATTCAAAATGGCCACCACAGATATGTGACGTTAGGCAACACAAACATGGCTCTGACTCTGTCAGTTTTACAGATGCTGAGATAAATTTTTATTGTTTTAGTAGCTAAAGGACAAAGAGATAAAGAAACTGAAATTTGTGGCTCCAGTTAAAACAAATACCATTAAAAATCTAATCTAATCCAGTTTAAAATCACTATCATGGATTTAAAGCCCACAAGCTACAGTTTGTACTTAAAAAAAAAATCTGTCATCCATGAAACCTGAAGGTCAGCGAGACAACGGGGTGTTGGTGTTTATGGAGTCCAACAATAAGATCCTGGTGGGTCTCAAGAGTCCAGTTGCTTGGAGACCGGGTCCAGAACCAAGAGACCTGTGTCCTCTGTGGTACATAGACAAGTGTGTCAAACCACCAACCTAAAACCAGTTTAAACCTGTTTACACACTGCTCTTTTATAATTTAGACAAAAAAAAAACCTGTAGCTAATGAGCTAAATGCTAAAATTGGTCACATTGTAACTAGACACTAAAAACAGCAGAATGTTAGCCCGAAGTTAAAAAGATCCAAAATTGAAGCTAACATAAAAGTAGCAGAAGGGTAGCCAAAAGCTAAAGCTTGAAAACATGTAGCTTGAAGTCAGAATTAGCAAACGGTAGCTAAAAGGCTAATCACTTAGGCTATGTGGGACTGGTCCAAGGTGACAGGAGCTCCCTGTGACCCAAAACAGAAAAGTGGGTAAAGAAAATGAATGCATGGATGACTAAAGGCTAAAATTAGTTAATTGGCAGTTAATGCAAAAAGTGGCAGAACAGTAGCTAACAGCTAAAAGTAGATAAAGTAGCTAAAGTGCAAAAAACAGAAAACATTGTAAGTGATCAGAACACAGTCCTGCCTCTCAGCGTCTTTGCGTTCTGCGAGAATCATCTCGGTTCTGTTCTGAGCGTTTGGACCCGGGCCCGCCGCAGCAGCTGCAGATTGTTTGGTTCTGTGTGAGCCAGGTGGAACCACCAGAACCACAGTAAACCGTCACACGTTCACAGAACTGGATCCAGTTTGAGCTGGTGGTCTCCAGCTGYGGTCTGGATGTTCAGAAGAGAAACGAGATCTAATCTGTTAATCCCAWCCTCAGAACTTTTCACTGCTTCACATCTTGGTTCTGAATCTCAGGAATGTTTCTCAGGAACCTCCGAGGGACCATCTGCTGCCGTCAGTCTGAGGGAAAGTTATGAAACCGAAGTTTATCCTCTGGATTATTGAGAAATCTCTTTACRTTTCAACTGTCAGATTATTATATCCACCCTGACTGGCTCCAGRTTATAGTCTGTACCAGGGACAGGGCTAAATACTGCAACTAATTCAAATCATGTGTTTAAAACAGAACAAAGACTGAAACTTTTATCAGATTACTGTTGCCATGAAGTCACGTTTWAAACTGATTGAATCATTTTCACAATATTTACAAATAAATTATAATATTTTCAATTTATCAACATATTAAAAGCTAAAGCTGTGGCTGTTTTTAAGCGCTCTGTAAGTATAGTAGTAGTGGCTAAAAGTAGCAAAAGACTGGGTAACAGCTAAAAGTAGCAAATGCAAAAGTAAAAGCTGACATTAGCAAAAGGTTAGCTAAAATCTAAATGCAGCAAAAGGCTGGGYAAAAGCTARAAGTAGCAAAATGTTAGCTCAAATCTTAGCAAAAGGATGCATACCAGCCTGAAATATCACAAGGTAAGCTAAAAGTAGCAAAAGTTYAGCTAAAACAACAACAGGSTAGCAAGATCTAAACATAGCAAAAGGCTAAAACCTAAAAGTAATAAAAAGTTAACCAAAATCTAAACATAGCAAAATAACTGGTAAAAACTAAAAGTAACAAACAGTTAGCTACCAGTAACAAAAGACCAGTTAAAGGCYAAAAGYAGCAAAAGACTAGCTAAAACCTTAATACAGCAAAAGGCTAGCTWAAAGTAGCAAAAACTTYGCTAACATTTAAAYATAGCAGGATRGTTAAAAGCTAAATGTTGTAAAAGATTAGCAACATTAGCTAAAGTTTAGCTAAGAAGGTTAGCTAAAAGTARCAAAAGGTTAGCTAAAACATTCAGCACAAGGTAAGCTAAAAGTAAAAGACCAGGTAAAAGCTAAAAGTTGCCAAAGACGAGAAACATCAGCTGAAAAAGGTGAATGTTTTCCACCTGAAATAAAGAATTTATGAATAAAGTTAAATAATTTGAAAAGTATTAAAGTTTTAAASGTAGAAGTCACAGCACCATCTCCTGACTGAGCTGAACCGGGTCAGAACTGTGAGGTCCAGATGAAGCTCTGGCTGCAGAGACACGGTTGAAAAAAAAAGAGACAAGGTTCAGACAGCAGAGGGAGCTGAAACATCACCGATTATTCTTTWAGCAACAAATCAAAACGTTCTGCTTCAGTGTGGAGAGAAGTTCACAGTTTGTCTGAGACACTTTYAAATAAACACGAGGACTTTTAAATCAAACGTAAAAGTAACCCAGAGTGTCTTTTTGTGTTTTGAATGAAATAATTTAATAACAAACTGTTCTTGTTCTTATTGTTAAAAGTTCTTGTTTTATTTTTGTTCTCTGTGCACATTACAGTTTTCCTGTTAGAAGAATAAAACTTAATAAGATGAAATACAGCAGGATCAGTCCTTTTTGTTACAACTTAAAAATATGCAACAGAGCTTAAAATATGAGGCAGAACTGTAAACTTTACTGATTTATACAAAGAAATGAGAAATATGAGACATTCTGGAAGAATTAAACTTCATTTATCTGTCAAGTGAAAACATCCATCCATCCCTCCTTTATTCATCCATCCATCCATCCATCCTTTATTCAACCATCCATCCAACATCCATCCATTCATCCATCCATTATACCCATCCATCCATCCATCCATCCATCCATCAAACATCCATCCATCCATTATACCCATCCATCCATTCATCAAACATCCATCCATCCATCCATTATACCCATCCATCCATTCATCAAACATCCATCCATCCATCCATCC